CCATCTCTAGCACCCCATTCATTTCTTTCTACGCATCCTCTCTTCCCGCGTTTCGGCGGGTTGATACACAAGATTCTAAAAGCCCCGCCTCCCTCTCCGTCATATTTCAGCCCCGCCTCTTTGAGCGGCTTATAAAATGCCAAACTCCAAGAAGATTAAAAAAAAAAAAAAAAGATCATGCTGCAAGGCGTTCTGTCAGTCAGGAATTCATCGTGCAAATCTAAGCTTTTTTAGAACCAATCAGCTTTAGAATCCGTTTGTTATGGGTCGCACAGCTCTGCTGCCATACGCTGCGTGCGTCGCATTTTGCATGTGGCAATCTTACAACTGGATGGTCCACCTTGTTTGTTTTTCCATAGCCACAAAATATTGCAGTTGGTCCACGGCATACTTATGCCCTTTCTCGGGAAGTGGGCCACCCAGTGGCTGCATCACCATGCTTTACTAAAGTGATCCGGTTTTCCTGAAGTAGCGCGATCCACTAAACCCCCAAACTAATCACAGGACTGGGTAATTTACGCCATCCTAAATTAAAAGGTAATTACTTTGTGGGTCCGCGTCGGAAAAAAACAAACAAACCTGAGTCGTTTGTAGATTGGGGTTAGAAAATCTGCTCTGCTAAACTCCGGACGACCGCTATGCGGTGCTAGGTAGCGCTAGTGCGGATTTTTGTTGTACAGTTGAAGGGGGGGAATAGAGGCTAAAAAAGCAATAGAAAAGTTTTATTTCGCGGCCTGGATATTTTGAATCTTGCAAGAACTCCTCCCCCAGCGATAAAAATGTCAGGAACGTTTCCATTTGGGGGGGGAGATAAGCAACGGGGGGAGGGGGTAGTTTGATGGGCCAACTTTTTTCTTAGGAACCTAGAAGGCTTTTTGATCAGTATGAGAGCTTTAGGTTTGTTCCCTGTCTATCTCTTTTTTTCACCGAGGCAACTTGACTTTTCAAAAGGATTAAAAACAAAAAGGTTGGCACCGGCAATTAAACTATGAATCCTAATCGGCAATTGTGCATCTCCCTCCCGAAAACTGTCCTGCCCGAACTCTTCACAAGATCATTGAAAAAAACTTCGTCGGCGGCTTGAGCGATAATTTTCACTCGGGCAGCGGCCTTTCCCCACCCCCAAAAAGGAGGCAGGTCAAGCGGGCTCGTTATTTAAATCCCTCCATTGAACCAAACAGGCTCTGGAAAAGTGTGTATGTGTGTGTGTGTGGGGGGGGGGGGGGCAGGAAATAAGCAAAATGCTTCCAAGAGCGCCAAGTCGTATAGCCTGACGCGGAGGAGGGAAACCTCGGGGCTTGACAAACTGGATTGCAACACTCCGGAGGCCGCTTCTCCTTTAAGCGGGGCCAGCCTGGCTCGCTGGCGCTTTCCCTCCCTCGCAGGGCCCGCCTCCTCAAGCACGACACGCCGCTCTGATGGCGAAGCCTCTTTTTAATTGAGACTGTCAGGCTGGATCCACGATGGAGCGGGAGGGGGCATTGGAGCAGCAGCAGCAGCAGCAGCAGCTCAGCCGCCTAAATCCGACCAAAGAACGGTAGCTTTTTCCAAAGGAGGGCCGGCTGCCAGCGGCGCCTGGCAATCCGTAGCTCCGCAGGATCTTCCTCCCAGAGGAGCCCGGAGGGATTCGCTCTCGCCCGCACCTCCCGCTTCTGTCTCTCGGTTGGCAAGTGGAAGGGAAGCAGCAGCCTAGCCGCGGGCGAAGCAGCGCAACGCCGAGCCTTTGGAAACGGCCGGGAGCGCGACCCTCCAGGCGATCGCCGCTTCGGGACGCCTTTTTTTCCCCCCTTCCTTTTTGTTCAGTTTCCTTCTGGGTGGGTTTTGGGGACGGCGACGGAACGCTTCTTTCTCCACCCCACCCCCCCTTCCTCCGAGAGTGATTGGCTTTGGACGCGCGCGTCCCTCTGCTCTCTCCTCCGTCCCCGCTCGCTCCTTCGCTCCTCGTCCCCTTGTGCGATCCTCATGAAAAATCATATCTGGGGCAGCGACCCCCGGGCTCCCATGGCTGCAGCGATGCCGTGGAAGAGCGTGGAGTGGCTGCAGGAGGAGCTGGAATCGAGCGGGGGCAGCTCGCTGCTGCTGCTCGACTGCCGGCCCCACGAGCTCTTCGAGTCCTCGCATATCGAGACCGCCATCAACTTGGCTATCCCGGGCCTGATGCTCCGGCGCCTCAAGAAAGGTAATCTGCCCATCCGCTCCATCATCCCCAACAACGAGGACAAGGAACGCTTCGTCAAGCGCTGCAAGGCGGACACCGTCCTGCTCTACGACGAATCCACGGCTGAGTGGCAGCAGGACGGCGGGGCCCCCACCTCAGTCCTCGGCCTTTTGCTACAAAAACTCCGAGACGACGGCTGCAAGGCGTACTACTTGAAAGGTAAATGGGGAAGGGGGTCGCTCTCGGACCTCTCAGACCTCCTGACACGGGATTGGCGAGCTTTATATTTCCTTCGTCCTCCCTTTATTAGATCATCCGGGCAGGAGGCTGCGAGTCCCCAGCCGGAGCAAAAATTCCCGCCTAATCGCAACCTAACCTCCCCCCCCCCGCCCCAATCTCGCTATTTGTTCTTATCTCTCCATTTCCCTCTGTCCTCCTATCACGTATTCCCTGTTTCCCAATCTTAGTTGTTTTGCTGCCCTTTACCGGAGGTTTTTCTCCCGCAGAAAAGATAGAAAGGCTGAACGTCGGCATTAAAAAACAAAAAAAAAACAAGGCCAAAACAAAACAGGCGAAGGACTTCGAAAAGAGCGCGTGTCTTTCCCTCCTTTGGATTCGGCGGAGCAGGATGTTGCTTTTGCTTTCATCGCCGGTTTGATTAAGTGTTGTTTTGCAAAATGGTTGCATGTGCTTGAGTACTGTACATGCAGGTACTGGCCTCTGGGCCTCTCTGGTCTTGGTTCAGTTTTCTCTCTCCCCTCCCACTTCGGTAGGAACGGGAAAATGGTCCCCCCCTTCCCGCTAAACTCTCCTGGGAGACATCATGCTCTCCCGAAGGAGAAATTCTGGCGAGATTCTTCCATAACTATGAATGGGAAAAGTCCAGGAAAGCCGGCTTCAATCCAACCTTTCGGTGGTGATTGTTTACTCTAGGCTTTACCTTGCTCCTTCCCTCTATCAACTACCTTAGTAACCTTCGTTTTTAAAAGGAGAGGGAGACTAGGTGGCCCTGTGTTGGACTACAGTTCCTATGAGTCAGAATAGACAAGCCATTCAGAAGTTCTGGAGGGCTCTTGCCTCCTTGCCTTTCCAGCCATCTACATGTTTTCCTTTCCCCCTCCTGTCTTGGTGCCCTTTAGCGGCTCTTCCCTCCACAGATGGGGAGGGAAGAGCTGACAGCAAGGAATAGCTTGTTCTACCCCTTGTCTAACTTTTATGCAATGGTCTCATTTGCTCCACTATACTGTTTTGGCGATACGCAGAGAAGGAGCCTGTAAATAACCTTAGAGAGAGGAGGCATTATTCACTGCAGGCAGTTTGCCATTCTGCTTTTTAATTGAAATTTGTTTGGCAGATTAATCTGTTGTGTCTTGCGCCCTGCTTCCTCTTCTGTGTCTTTGAAGGCCCCGACTTGGTAGATCAGCCTTTGCCTTTGAGCCACTTGCTTGAGCTAGATGACGTATCCGGCCTTGCTGCATTGCATTGAGCTCTGCCTCCCATTCCTCCCTGAAGTTCATTTTGAATGAAGACCTTAATTCATTAAACTCCCCATTCAGCTTTTCTAAAACACTCTCCTCCCCTGGAAGCATTGTGATACAGTTACTCTGAGTGCCAAGGTAAGGATAATTGCCTTTTCCCAGGACACATACCAGCATGATCACTTGGTGGCAGGATTGAGGCAGAAATAGAAAGTGATACTGAGCCAAAATTGTCCATCTGTCTGTACTGTGTAAGTAAAATTAAAATTGCAGATTTCCAAATAGCTCAAGGGAAAGGAAGTACTAAATAGTGCAGAAGGAAGAAATTGTTCTTAGGATAGGAGATCTCTTCCTGTATATATGTATGTATATTCGTATATGTATGTATTTGCAAGCAGTTTAGTGAAAGCTTTCCTGTGCATTGCCCCCATTTTCCTCCTTCAGTATCTTTCTTGGTACATGTAAGGTATGTTTTTAAAATTATTTAGCCCAAGTGCTGTACTAATACCACCATCTTTCCTCTTGACAATCCCAGTTCCTTTAAGCCAGCCTTTTTAACAGGAAATATTGAGGAGTTAAGCTGATAATTTTCTCTTTTCCTTTCCTTTTCTGATTTAGAAGAGAGCCTGAATGGGAAATGTTTCTAGTTAAAATTCCAAAATGGCTGTTTCATATTGTCTTTTCTTTTTCAGGAGGGGGAAAAAGAAACCTGATTCCCCCCTTCCTGTTCATGAATACAGTTGAACTCTGTTTGGTGACTTTATTCCAACTGTGCCAGGCCATTTAAATATCTCTAGGTCTTTTATAATGGTACTGATTTGTAAAGTGTTGCTTGGATGCCTATTAAAGATTCAGAAGACAATTTCAGGTTCCATTTATGTACAACATTGAATGTAGATAAATATTCTTTGTGTACATTTCTATTTATGTAGCTCTTTTTTGATTATGTGATCATAACTATATGGTTAGCTATTTAGCTGAGTGCAAAGAATATTCACATATTGCAATTTTGTTAACAAATGAAGTTTCCATTCCTGTCTCAAATTCTCCTTCAGAAACAGAGTGGCTTCTATCTACCTATTATTTTTAATATATTACTTGCCTATTTAAAGCTAAACCAATTCCCTCTAATCTGTGTCTTTAAACAACCTTGAAACCTCTTATTCTCAGGTTTGTCACCTTTTTCAACAGGACTTCTGTAAATATGTACTAGGTAATTTAGCAGGTGAAGCATCTTATTATAACTGAATGGTCTTGAAAAAGCTACAGCTGCTGAATTTCTGCCTCCTACAGAGTTCTAAGAACACAGGAGCTCCCCAAAAATAGAATAACTTTTAATTCCAAACTTAGGAAATCTTAATTTTAATACTTTTTCTTTTAAATCAAAAAGTAAGAGTGTGTCTATGTGCTTCCTCAGATTGGTTGTCCACTTTTTCTTAAAGAATGCCAGTTGAATGATTGAATACTTCCTTTTATCCTTCCTACTTTAATTGCTTCCTTTTCTCCATGCAAAAACTAGTTGTTAAGGAAAAGATCCAAACCTCCGAATAACATTCCCATTTTTGAGTTCTCCAAATTCTTCCTTAGACAGGATGTGAACATATGGGTAGTAGGTGCAAGAAGACAACTGAAGTGGACTCTGTATTAGGGATTCTGCATTTTGTCATTCTTTTAAGGTTGCAGTCATTCAAATTGGGCTTTGATGTGTGATGCAGGTTGCATCAAAGACTTCCTTAGCAAGTTGGGATGAAGAAGCAACGTGATGTATCAACTTTTAAAATATAAAACCCATCTATTAATCCGATATGTCTCTATCTTTAAAATGCTGTGACACAGTTTTGGGAAAGGTTAAGCTCGAGACAAAACAAAATGGGAGACTCTGGCAACATGATTCAGTTAAATTAGTGACACTTAAAATGCAACTCTAAACACTTTTACTTGGCAACAAATTCCAGTAAGTACTGTATAATAGGGTTTTAAGGAAATGTCTGTAAAATTGTTAAAAGTTCTTGCTATATTGGTACCACCACCTTTAGGGTTCTTAACATTTTACTGTCTTCTGCTTCATGTGATCTGCAGACAGTGAGATAACACTTGTCTCCATGGTGTAAAAACTTTCTGATTAGAGGACTGCATATTAGGCTGCTGTTTAAAACAGAGGATCAGGCCAGGCCTGTTTTGGTGAGTTGGCAGCCGAGATTACTATGGCAGAGGTTGAGAAAATCAGGTAGTAGCCTTATACACAGTTAACTGAAATAAATCCACGTGATTTTAAACTTCAGATTGTCTTAAGCTTCTTATTTCTGCAAGCAGTACTTCTTCTGGGGGGCCCCAATGTGATTCCAGCTCTCTTGCTGTTAAATGTATATATTCGTGTGTTGTCAATCTTTAGTTTTTAAGATTGATTTTATATTCATGGAATTTTCTGGGCCTCCCTGGGAAAGTGGTATTTTACAGCATAAAATTAATTTCTTTAAATCCACAATCATGGTTTAGGGAGGTTATATTTAAAGAGCAAATTTTTAAGACCTCACAGACTTTTAAGAAACATGGCATTAAAGCATATCTTCTCTTCACCTCCCACAGGTGGATTTAATAAATTTCAGACCGAATACTCAGAGCATTGTGAAACCAATTTTGACAGTTCTTCTCCGGCCAACTCTCCTCCTGCCTCAGTCCTTGGTCTGGGTGGACTCAGGATAAGCTCTGATTGCTCTGATGGAGAATCTGACCGGGAACCCAGCAGTGCCACCGAGTCTGATGGGAGCCCAATCCCAAACAACCAGCCGGCGTTTCCTGTCCAGATTCTCCCCTATTTGTATCTGGGTTGTGCCAAAGATTCCAGCAACTTGGATGTCTTGGGCAAATACGGCATCAAGTACATTCTGAACGTCACTCCCAATCTTCCCAACATGTTCGAGCATGACGGAGAGTTCAAGTACAAACAGATTCCCATCTCGGATCACTGGAGTCAGAATCTCTCCCAGTTCTTTCCTGAAGCCATCGCTTTCATTGGTAGGTGTGGGCACCCTGTTGTTGACGTCACAGCCCTTTTGAGTAATGTTCTATCATAATCTAGCTATTTTCTGCTCTTACTACTATCTGCTTGCTATAGAATTCATTTATCTAAGTTTAGATTTGGCATGTGTGAGTTAGTAGGTACTGGTACGTGTGCCAGCATTTATACGCTTTAAATATAACTGAGTTTGGCTGCAGGCTTCATTCCAGTTAAAGCCAAAAGATTATTCTCCACCTGACTTCAGTGACTTAGAAATGATAATATATTTGGAATAGATTACAGGGAATGAATTGAGTAAGGCTTTTGATTTCTGTTTTAGAGGTTCAGCTTTGCACAGCTGAGCTTCACATATTCCTCCCCCCGAATAATATATTTCAAGCAAAAATCAGTTCCAACCCAATGTTTTGATTTTTTTTACTCATGTTAAATGTTGGAGCTTATATGGTCAGCGTGGTTCCATGATTCCTGATTAGACTTTGAGTTGCCTAGGAGAAGAGAGTAGCTTCCTTCTTCACCTTCCTATGTCCTGGAATCTCTCCATGTTGCTAAGTATACACCACTGGAATCTTTGTGTCCTACCAAAGTTGCCACCATTTCTTTGTGTTCACATTAAATAACCTCAAAAGTTCTCAGAACAGCTGTAAAATCACAGAAGAAAACTTGGCTCTGGCTCACAGAAACAAAACACACCCCTATGCATTTACCATTTGATCATTAAAATTAGTCTTGGTACATATACTGGTTCATTAACATGTAAAAGTCACCTGAGGGCATTCTCGTGTGAACCAGATGGTATTACTGTAGGTGTTATTGGCTCCAACATTGAAGCAGAAAGCTAAAATGTGAGATTTTTATTTTAAAAATTGAGTTTTCCCCTTCAGTATTTCTGGCCCATTTCGTTTTTGAAATTGCAATTGTACTGCAGTTTTATCTGCCACATTACATATGCTACAAATAATGTAGCCACTGGCCAGCCCCGGGCTCTTGCTGTAGCAGCAACATATGCTTGAGTCAGTTGTTAAATGTAAATAAATCAAAGTTGTATTCTTCCTGATATTCCATATATTCTAAATTCATATTTTTATAGAAAGTGCAGGCTTAGATACTGATTTCCAGAGAAATACAAGCTGGTCTTTGCTTCTGTATTATGTCAGTTGATCAAAAGTTTTGCATTTGCTTAAAGGGCTGTTTGTGGAATGTGGTATTTAGATACTAGCTTAGTCAAAACATCCTCTCCTATGCAAACCACAATTTGGTTTTTAGAACAGGAAATGATTACGGATTAAAATAGAAAAAAATGTGTTCAAATAGAACACTAGCACACATTTGGAGAAACTTTTTCATTTAGAAGACAATGCTGAGTGGTCTGGCACTGATTAATGTCTTGGACCATGATATGAAATGAAACAAGTTCATTCCTTAAATTTTCTTCGGTGTCATAGCGTTTATGAACTCTCAGTCTGTTCTTTAGCTAAATTACAATTTTTTTCCAGGCATAAAATCCATCCCTCAACATGTGTCCTTTCATAGTCATGTTGAAATCAACAAATGTGTGTAAGAATATATTGTTTCAATGATGTCCCATCAGTAGAATATGTTGTTAATTACTCTCCATCTGTTCTGGGGTCCTTCAGAGTAGATTTGAGATATGCAAAGGAAAACAACAGGAAGACCTGTTGCCTGAGCTAAAATAAATGTTAGGTACAGTTGCCTGAAGCTAAATACAGAGAAACATGCATGGAGTTGCAATCTTATCCTTACTTTATTGTAAAGATATCAGATAACTATATTTAGGATTGGGATGTAGTATTTGTTATGTGTAGACATCATAATTAACATTCTTCAGTTACTTTAGCCTGTAAAAACTGTTCACCCTTAAGTAGGAAATTATCTACTTGAATGTAATGAAACATGTAATGAAAAAAAAATATTGTATTTCTTTTAAAGACTTTAAACAAAATTTAGACCTTTAACATCCATTTGAACCTGGTTGGGTTTATTTGGGAAAAACAAACTATTCACTCAGGTTCTTTCCTTTATAGTACTATTTTTTTTCATATGGCAACATTTGTCAACTTAACTAGTTGTAAGCCAGCCAGCCAAATGCTGATTAATATTAAACAGAAACAAGGATTAAGTAAGTTGTGTCTTTAATAAGGTTCCAGGAACTTTGGATGCAAAACTATTGTTGTAACTTCTGTCATTCTTCTCAAGATACGTCTGCCTTGTTTCTTTATCATCTCCAATTATATCAGTTGCTTACATCTTTATGTGGCAAGACAGCATGAATTAATATTTAACTGTCCTGATTACACCAATCTGATTGTCTTTGCATCTAGGCAGCATGTGAGACTCAAGGGAACATTGAACTTTGAAGAAAAACTGCTTAATTAAAAGTGCATTTATTATAAGTTTTAATCTAAGTTAAATTTCCCTAATTCTACCCTTGCTTTAAACACCCCCCCCCAACACACACCTTTCCCTTTTTGTTGTTCAGAAATCTCACATGTTCTTTCCTGTTGCAGATGAGGCCCGTTCCAAGAAGTGTGGCATTCTAGTCCACTGCCTTGCTGGCATTAGCAGGTCTGTAACAGTAACTGTGGCCTATTTAATGCAAAAGCTCAATTTGTCTCTGAATGACGCCTACGATTTTGTGAAAAGGAAAAAGTCCAACATTTCCCCCAATTTCAACTTTATGGGACAGCTTCTGGACTTTGAAAGAACTTTGGGACTCAACAGTCCATGTGACAACCGCTCGCCTGGGGACCAGCTGTATTTTACCACCCCAACCAATCACAACTTGTTTCAGCTGAACACATTGGAGTCCACATGAAGGAGATTTCATTGGGGGGAACTTCAAGCCTTGAATAGCTTCTCTTGAGCATTTCAAATTCATTAACGGGAAAAGTTTTTTTTTTCCCCAGTCAGCTTTGAAACAACTGGTTTCTCCAAGCCGATCTACCTAGCTGCTGCTTAATTGAAAAGGTGTGCACCGTTTATTAGTATTTGGATGCAAATCCAAATGGTTCGGAAGAGTTACTTCTCATTCACCGGAATTATTTCATGTGGCGGATGGCCTGACATTCTGACTGCAGCTGTTACTGGCAATAACTCTTTTCTAATTGTGGGTAGAGACTGATACAGTAAACTCATGCACATGTAACACACACACACACACACACACACACACCGACGTATTACTGGATCAGTGTGGGTTGGCTTGGTGTGGAAAGTAAAGAAGACTCATGCACTTAGCAAACTTGACCAATAAGTGTTGGCTTGAGACTGTTGTTTTACATCCCAGTTTACTTTTTTTAAAAAAAAAAAAAAAGAGGTAATCTTATACTCTTTCTTGGGTTCAAGCTCTTTTTCAATATGTACGTTCCTGACTGTTTGTACAGACCAGGTTGCAAAACCAGTATTTTATTCTGTTTGTGTTCAATTTTATGTTTTTTAGATATAAGAGAGAGAAAGAGGAAAAAAATTCAAATGTTTCTATTGACCAAATGCATTTTGCACACTCTGTAAAGCCTCAATATGTTCTCTAGCATGTTACTGGGGGTAGGGTGGGGAAAAGACACAAGAAAGACCTGTTGCTATACCTGGGTAGCATCTTAGCTGGAGTTTTCATGATTTATGAGAGCCAGTTGGTAAAGTATGCCCCTCTGCAGCATATTCACCCTCATAACCTTTTCTGCACTGACTCTGCCAAGGTGACTAAGCACCAATGTGCTATCTGATTTTTTTTTAAAAAAATCGTCCCATCCTATTCTGTATCCATCACCAATCTGTTCAATATTACCTGAGATAACATCTCATATAACCTTCACCCAGAGCTGGTAAAAGCACGCTTGGAGGCTCTTGGTTGCAGCGCACAACCTTTTTGACTGTTAACATCACCAGCTGGACTGAAATCACTCCAGCTTTCAAAGCAATGAAAATGCTGTTCATGTTGTCTGCATTTATCTGGCACACTTGATTCTTATATACAATGGGTGCATATATATGTACAAGTGCATATATATATATGTGTGTGTACATAAATAAATATATTGCATGGAAGGAGCAGCCTGGAGGTGAACAAAGAATCAAACAATATTGCTGTTGTAGAAGGCTTGAGCACAGATTTGCTAAGGCAGCTTCCCTCACCTGGCACTTTCCAGAGGGTTTAGGATGACAATGTCCACATTTCCTATCAAGGCTAGTTTAGTCTAAGGCTGCCTGACAATTCTGGGAACTGGGGTGCCAGTATGTGAAGGATACCAGTTTGGGAAGGTAACTTGGGTACAACCAGAAGGTACTTTAAATAGGAAACATGGGAAGCCATGGGATTATACTACTTAGGGGGAAAAAAGGTGTTTGTGTGTGTGAGAGGGAGGGAAGGCTAGTTAACTATGGAGGCCATTGGAGATTTTTGGGGAGAACTTTTGGGGAGAACTTCTTTGCTGTGCCTTCTATAACCAGAAGACTTGTCTATATTTCTCATTAATGTATTATACTAGATGAGAGAAAAGTGGTTCTTATTTTTTTTCTCGGGAGGAGGGCAGAATGGACATGGAAAAATATTGGCTGCAGTGTAGTCCTTCCTTTTTCCCACCTCCTTTTCCACTTTCACTCTCAAACTTTTAAAAGCCACGGAGTCTTTCCCCCCCTCCCTTAAATATTCATTTTTTAAAAAAAATAATAATCCGTTTTTCAAAAGTAAATAAATCTCCACATGGAAGAATGTTTAATGCTATCACATCATGGAACTGTGATGTGTATGTGCGTGTGCGTATGTGCTTTTAAGAAAATATTGAAATGATTTTTTTTAATGTATCAATGTTAGGGTTATTGGGTCATTTAGGCAGGAAAAGTGGAGCACTACACATGGATGAGCAAGCAGATGAGGAATCTCCTAACTGCATCTTACCTCAAGGAGAAGTTTTCTTTATCAGGGATTTTAGTGCATCTGTATCTTAAGCTGGTTTCTATAAAGGCTTCCTGTGCCATTGGTGGTCTACTTAAAAATGCATCCTCTTCGTATATGCGAGAATTTGTTAGTGAGGGGCAGCTTTTGCTTTCTGTGTTTAATGAAGGAAAAAATGAGTGACCCTATATATCCTGAACCCAATATTGGGACTTTGTTTATATTGCAAATAAATACTATTTTTTCTTTAAAAAACAGTGTTGCTGTGTCTCAAGTGTTTCCCAAGACAGTTTGGCTTCCTGTTTCTTTAAAGAAGCATTATGCTGTTTGCCTTTAACGCATTACTCCAACCCAATTTCTCTTTGCTTGTTAGTGTTTATGCAGTATATGGTTACACACACAGCTTAATTTGAAGGCCTGTGGTAAGATCTGGGGAGAGAGGCTCTGATGTAACCCAAAGCTTAAAGAACATCCTGAACATTCTTATTGGCCAAATACTCTTCCTAGGCAAGACCAGTGTGGTTCTGGTTTCCCTTGATTGCAATCTTACAAGAACTTTCCTGATGGATATCGATGAACTCCTGGTAAATAAACAAATTTAGTCTGAAACATTCAGTACCGAGGTCAACTGAATGTTTAGAAAGCTATCTTCGCTAGTCAAGCTTTGTTCCTTGGGGAGCTCAGTTGTAGAGGGATCACAGGGGGACATGAGTCTGGCACTTCACTTTTTACTTTCAAATTTAGTTTGAATGTCACTGGAAATTAGGTGACCCCAGGAGAAGCTTGTGTTTACCAGTCTGGTATAAACAGGTCCATACCTGCCAGAAATCCTGTGAATACAAGGCAACTAAACCTTTGCCTAACAATTTCAATTGGAAATTACAGCTTAAAAGCTGCTTTGGATAGTAGTCGTGGCTATTTGTAGACTTTGAAAAATCGTACCTCTTCAATTTCTACTTGTCAGACCATGTGTATATTCAGACTATGAGTACTAAACATGCTTAGTGGTAGGTTTTGACACTCATTTCTGAAGATGAGACGAAACCATTCCTTTTGCCCTACTTCCACCCTATCTCTCCCTCAGCTAAGAAACCATGGAAGAGTGTGTGCTAAATTGAGGAGGACTCTTTCGTCATTTCTTTTTCTGAAAATTCTTATAAAACAGCAAAAGGAAAAATATTTGCTACGTTATAGTATCTTTCTAAACTGTCCCCCTCCATCTTATACTGATATTTTATGACTGAATGGTGCAGAATGGATGGATTTGTGCAGTAGAAGGGTCCCATCCAATGACAATAGCAGATCGGCCCACATAAACCATCAACAAAATGGAGGTCTTAACCCAAAGTGTCCAGACTATATAACTGAAGGCTTTGACTGCTTGTGGGCTAATGGATGAGAGAGCCAATATTTTTGTCTGGAGTTAGGTGACCCAAGAGTATGCTTAACAGTCACTGCTTATTTGCTTAAGTGTGCTTTACACAAGCGCTGAAGAAGCTCACTGTTTGCCCAGCTGGTGAGAAGAATTTTGGCTCATTGCTGATGCTCAGGGCTTCAACTGACTGATAAAAATCTGCCAACTTTCCACTGTCTGAAATGTGCCTAAAAACCTAATCCTAATCCTATTTCCATCCGTTTCTCTACCCATTTCTTTTGTGTCACATCATAATTTGTTAAGTAGGAGGGCAGGGATTGTCTTTGTAAGCTCTTTCAGGAAACTTATTAATGAAAGAGTAGGATACAAACGCAGTTGAGTAAATAAAAATTCCCTCACCAGATGTCTGGCACCACAGATCTGGCTTTTTCAATGGCTGTTTCCTTAGTTAGATTTACAAGCAGCAATCCAAAAATCAGTTGTCATCACAATAGCCACCTTCAGGGTTACATTTAAGAAAAGGAAACCAATCTGTTAGGAAGGAGCAGAAAATTGATACAGAGGATAGAATAATAGGGTTTAATTGGCTGCGTGGTAGAACTAAGAAGAAAGGAAGCATGCTTGCCAAAGATTATGTTGTAAAATGTTTAGCTCCAGCAGTAAACCTAATCAATTTAAAGATTAAATTGGGAATTTTGAGAGAATATATTACTATGAAACTACAAATATGGTATGTAGTTTCATAGAAGTCCCAAAGGTGCTTTTTCAAAAGGAAATTGGACTTTCTTTGTTTTTCCTTGAAGAGGTTTTGCTTCTCACCCAAAGAAGCTTCTTCAGTTCTGATTGAATGGTGCAGAATGGAAGGGTTTATAGTTTCATAGTATATAATTTTGGTAGTTTTGCTGTTCAAGTCTGTTGAAGAAGAGGGGGATATTAATGATATAAAGAAATAATTTTGCAAAATTAACAAGAATACAGAAGGAAAATCTCACTGAGTCATGGTTTAATTAAAGTGTATTATTAAATATGCTATAATTGGCTGAATTTGTACAATGTGCTCAACCATAAATCATAGTATTTAACATTTGTCTTCTATCTTATATTGAGATGGACCTTTACTTCAATATTTGAAGGTGGCCAGGTGAGAACTTGGCCTGCCTTCATCAAAGAAACCTTAATGTACATACATATTTTTAAATAATGTGGACAAAATTCATTTATCTGGAGGAGGAACTGTACACCAAGTCCTTAGATCTATCATTCTCCAGATCTGGTGGGATTGTAACTCTCAAAATGTTCAGCCATTATGTTTCTAGAGAGTTTTGGAACATACTTCAAAAAAGTTGTGAAATTGGGGGAAACTGACATACACGGTGCAACAGCTCTTAAAAAAATTCTCAAGAACATAGGCGTATAAATACATGTTTCAGAGAGACTGTAGTAGTAAGACTGTGGTCTTTCCTTTATCTACTGTTGATCCTTTGGTTGCCCCTTAAAACATCCCTGGATAGGATTCAGGATAGTAATAGCCTCAGTTGTGCAAAGTAAAGGTTTTTTTCAGAATAACCTGATTGTGAATTCTGGAACAACACTGTAACAATTTTTAATCGTCTGCTGACTGGATAGTTAAAACACATGACTAAACTTAATACGGTGTGGGATAAAAATGGCATTGCTGTGAAAGATATTTGAAGAGTGTTCCACAATGACCACAATGTCTAGAAATGATACTTACTGAGTTTGAATGACATTTCCATTTTGGCATGTGGTGGGTTCCCATTCCACATCTCAGTTAAATAGAAAGCTTTCCCTCTCCTTTGTTGATGGATATAAGATACTGTGGAGAGAAAATGTGTAGTTCGTGGTTGAAATGAGGGCCCTTGGTGAGGGTAGCATGCCATCTTAGACATGTTGTTAAATATCTATGTTCATAAGGAGTGATGGAAGATTTCTTTCAAACAATATTAAGAGAATCACAGAAGAAACCTGTCTGTTATAGGATAACTTATGATTGTCTTATTTATGGGTTGTAGAGAACATCAAGGAAACATCATGGGAGCTCAGCACAAAAACAGTTGCTGCTAGGGCATGTTTGTTCCGTGGTTGGGTTAAGTATCTTTCCATGGAGAAGATCTCAGTGTGAGAATTTCTTCAAAAGAAAAGTAAGAAAATATCTCTAAATGGGATATGTTTATAAAGGCCTGGTTTATACAGTGTGCCAACTTTTTTTTTATTAGCTAAATAGTAATTGCCTGAGCATGCACCTATTTTATACCTTAAATTACACAGTTTACAAACCACGATGCTGGACTCACCCAACATATTAAACCCAAACCAGACAGACCACACTATGTCTTAGACTAATGTAGGATTCCAACAATTCTGTCTGTGTTAATACTTATGGAAAGTCACTGTGATGTTATTGTAGCCTGTTTCCTCATTATTCATAGATACTGAGATACAATTCCCACTCTGAACAATTCTTTCCAATCCTAACCATAGGTTACAATGGGAAGTCTGGAGCAGATAAGTGGTGCCCGGATTCAATTTTTTCAGTTCCATGTAACTTAATAAGAGGCCTGCTCCTTGTGTGTGTCTCTTGTGTGGTGGTGGTGGTGGTAGAAATAACTACATTATTAAGTTAGCATGTCTTTGAATTCAGAAGCAGGAAATGAGGTTGTCCTCAGGTTTTCCAACTTGATGCAGCCCAGACTGTTCAGTTTACCTTCTTTCCTATGTTTTTCTTGTCAAATTCTGGGAGAATGAGAGCTGGATAAGCAGACAACTTAAAAAAGAACATTGAAACATGCAGTCCACTTTGAAGAAAGAAACATAAAGTTCCTCATGTTTGCTGAAAAATGGTCTTAGCACCTAAATATAAATTCTCCATCAGATTTTCAACATCTCAGGAAACATTGGCTCTGCAGTGAATTACAATGAATTGTCATTCTAACTTTCTCAGTGACAAGATCTGAGCAGTGACTGTTTTGTGGATGAATGGCTGTTTCTGGCTTTCAGCATTTATTTTTCAGTACCAGTCAATCTTGGCAGTTTTCAGTAT